CAATATAAATTCTTCCTATCCATGAGCATGGGATGTGTTTCCATTTATTGGTATCCTCTTTAATTTCTCTTAAGAGTGTCTTGTAGTTTTCAGAGTATAAGTCTTTCACTTCCTTGCTTAGGTTTATTCCTAGGTATTTTATTCTTTTTGGTGCCTTTGTGAATGGAATTGTTTTCCTGATTTCTCTTTGTGCTAGTTCATCGTTAGTGTATAGGAATGCAACAGATTTCTGTGTATTAATTTTGTATCCTGCAACTTTGCAGAATTCAGATATTAGATCTGTAGTTTTGGAGTGGATTTTTTAAGGTTTTTTCCATACAATATCATGTCATCTGAAAACAGGGATAGTTTGACTTCTTCCTTACCAAACTGGATGCCTTTTATTTCTTTGTGTTGTCTGATTGCCGTGGCCAGGACCTCCAGAACTATGTTGAATCAAAGTGGGAGACTGGTCATCCTTGACGTGTTCCTGATCTTAAAGGAAAAGCTTTCAGCCTCTTGCTGTTAAGCATAATGTTGACTGTGGGTTTGTCATATATAACCTTTATTATGTTGAGGTACTTGCCCTATATACACATTTTGTTGAGAGTTTTTATCATAAATGGATGTTGAATTTTGTCAAATGCTTTTTGGGATCTATGGAAACAATCATGTGGTTTTTGTCCTTTTTCTTGATGTAGTGGTTGATGTTGATGGATTTTTGAATGTACCATCCTTGCATCCCTGGGATGAATCCCACTTGATCATGATGGATGATCTTTTTGATGTACTTTTGAATTCGGTTTGCTAATTTGTTGAGTATTTTTGCATCTATATTCATCAGGGATATTGGTCTGTAATTTTCTTTTTTTTTTTGTGGTGTCTTTCCCTGGGTTTGGTATTAGAGTGATGTTGGCTTTGTAGAATGAGTGGCAGTATGCCCTCCTCTTCTACTTTTTGGAAAACTTTAAGGAGGATGGGTATTAGGTCTTCACTAAATGTTTGATAAAATTCAACAGTGAAACCATCCGGTTCAGAGTCTTTGTTCTTAGGTAATTTTTTGATTACCAATTCAATTTCCTTGCTGGTAATTGGTCTATTCAGACTTTGTGTTTCTTCCGGGGTCAGCCTTGGAAAGTTTTATTTTTCTAGAAAGTTGTCCATTTCTTCTAGGTTATCCAGTTTGTTAGCATGTAATTTTTCATAGGATTCTCTCATAATTCTTTGTATTTCTGTGGTGTCCATAGTGATTTTTCCTTTCACATTTCTGATTCTGTTTATTTGTAAGACTGTCTTTTTTTCTTGATAAGTCTAGCTAGGGGTTTATGTATTTTGTTTCTTTCCTCAAAGAACCAGCTCTTTCTTTCACTGATTCTCTCTATTGGTTTATTCTTCTCAATTTTATTTATTTCTGCTCTAATCTTTATTATGTCCCTCCTTCTACTGCCTCATTTGTTCTTTTCTAGTGTCATTAATTGTAATTTTTGACTGTTCATTTGGTATTGTTCTTCTTTCCTGAGGTAGGCCTCTATTGCAATATACTTCCCTCTTAGCACAGCCTTCGCTGTGTCCCACACATTTTGCAATGTTGAATTTTTGTTATTTGTCTCCATATAGTGCTTGATCTCCGATTTTATTTGGTCATTGACCCATCGATTATTTAGAAGCATGTTATTAAGCCTCCATGTGTTTGTGGGCTCTTTCTTTTTCTTTGTGTAATTATTTCTAGTTTCATACCTTTCTGATCTGAGAGGCTGGTTGGTACAATTTCTATCTTTTTTG